GTGCTTCTCCCAAAGCCTGTTTTTGTGAGACTACAAACTATAAACAGCAGGGAGCTTCAGTGCAGTCAATTAGCAACCAAATAGAGGTGCCAACAGGTACAGAGATGAAAATAAGTAACAGCTGCTTGAAACCTCACTCAGCACTAAACAGTTAAATATGCCAATCAAACAGCAAGAAAACAATATCTTGATTCCCTTGATTTTCCAGATCCCGGTCCATTGAAAATCTCTGTAAATGACTGCAAATGCGGATAGCAGTTAGGAAAGGAAGTTGCATGAAATTCCCTCAATTAGGCTGACATTATGATTAAAGCATTTTTGTGGCATCCAAAGGGCTCCTGTACCTAACTTTATTTTATCCTTGGAGAACATGTAAGGGGGAATCGAGTTGTTTTTTGGCTACAGCTTCATTTTAGAGATGAAGACCCTTAAAACAGGAGAAGGAAGGCAGGAAACGGACCCTCCTACTCAGAACAAGGGATTCTCCATATATTTTGGGAGGGGAGCCGTGTGAGTCTGGGAGAGTCCTTTGACTTTCCCCTGGGGGTGACGGTCTTTTGCGGGGGCCCGGCTGGAGGAGTTTGGCTTTGCTCGGCGGCGCCCCAGTCGCCCGCTCCTCGCAGCAGCTTCCGCGAAGGGGTTAAAGGCAGAGAGCTTTTCTCTGGCGCCTAGAGAGGACGCAGGAAACCGAGGGGGCGAAAGGCCAATTTCCGGGCCCTCTAGGCGCCCATCGTGGTCTCTCGACGTCTCTTCTGCAAGGGCTGCCGGAGATTCCCCTCGCGGGGAGCGGCGCTCAAGGGGCGCCAGGTGGGCAAGGACGCTGCGAGCGGGGGGGGGGGAATCAGGAGGAATCCCCAGGAGGGGGGAAGGGGAGGAGGGATTCCTCGAGGGAGGGAGGGAGGGAGGGAGAGCGAGGTGGGTTTCCCCCAGTTGCGCCCCCTCCCCTTCCGAGTCTCCGCCTTTCCTTGCGAGCTTTTCTGCTCCGTGGGAACCGCTGTGCCGCCGCTTCTCCTCCTCCTCGGTTGCTGCTTCCGCGATCGGCTCTCCGACCCCCTTCAATTCCTTCCCCCGAGCCCCCCTCCTGCCCCGCAGCCCCTCCTCTTGGTGCAGCCCGGCTCCCAGCGTGGGGGCTCCTGGTCTTTCCCGGAAGGTTGGGCACCGCCGTTCCCACGTTCCCCTGTGGCTGCTGGGGAGGATCAGCCTCCCAGTGCCTGGAGGGGAGGGAGGGGAAGAGGCCGGGGGAGCTCTGGGCTCAGAGGGAGCGTGGCTGGAGGCGAGGGCGGGGACCCTGCTAGGAGGAGGCCAGGGGCGTCTGGAAGGCGGGTGAGGGAGACCCGAGAGGCGCCCAGGTGGGCTTGGCCGATGGGCAGCCCTGTCCAGGTGGGCT